ACCATGATTACAACACTCACAGCTGCCTCATTTAAAAAGATGGAGCCAGAAGACTTTTCAAATCAGTGACAAAAAGCAAAGTGTCTGCAGATCTTGGCACAGTAATATCCCAAAGCTTCAGACAACAGAAAGGCTTGCTTCTCCTGAGTGGCCATTATTGGCTGGCTGCATGAAGAGGGAATCGGTAATGCCCTCTGCATAATGAAACGCTATTGTCACCCAGGACCTCACGGGACATAATCTGAAGAAAAGCACAGTGTGTCTATGATTAGATCACAGAGTAGATGCAAACTTCCCAACTCATTCTTTTTGGAAACACCTGACTTAGTGGAATAATTTCTCTCCCAAATAAATGCCTCGGTTTGCCTCTGGATGTAGACAAGGGGACTGACTCCCAAGATAATGGTTAGGAAGACGCAACTGAAAACATAGCCCGTGTGTGTGGCCTGTGAGACGAAAGGGAACGGAGGCGGCAGAGGCGGTGTGTTTGTGAAGAAGGGAGGAAGTGAGAGCTGTGTGATTCATACCCGAGGAATGTGTTCAGTAGAAATGCACAGAAACACAGGTGGCTGCATACTGTGAGCAACAAGTTGGCACCCACTGAATAAGCCTTGTTCGTTGGATAGTGCTAGCATTTCTTCTTCCCACGTCCTCCCGTAGTGCGGAGTTTTCTCAGCCTTCTCTTCCTTCTGAGGTGGTGTCCTGAGGAACGTGGTGGTGGTACTATAAGAAAGCAAACATCTTCATCTACGCCTCATATAGGGCCAGGTCTTCAAGGAGCAGTGTACAAAGAACAGCTCAGAGGTCCAGAAGTACTCTGTGGTCACGAGCAGCAAAGTAAAAAAGGAATGTGTTTGGAGGAGGCAGAGCTGGGGAAATTGGTGCCAGTTACTCCATAACTCAGTGGGAGCAGAAATATAAAATATTGCTCTAACTTCTGAGGTGACAAAAAATTGAATGTGACCCCTGCTTCTGTAACCTTGAGTTAGATCGTCTTGGAAAGAACAGAACTCACTGAGCCTGCTCCCTTCACCTGAGAAATGGCCTAAGTGCACTGAGCCGGCTAGTAATAAAGTCCCATATTTCACTGCCGAGAGGGAGTCATCAGCGCTCCATCACAGCCCCGGTCACTAACAGATCCAGAGAGCCCACACCAGAGAGACCCCTTCATAACGGACTCACAGTCATTTCTTCCTGACGTGGTGTTCCCCTCAAAAGTCACCCACTCCCTCTCAGTTCCCAGGAGCCCTGGGTCAGGCAGGATGGAGCAACCATCTACTCACCCTCCTGCTCTATGCAGCCCTAGACCTCCAGAGTAGCCACTCAGAAGTCAAGCTGCAATGAGTTTCAGCACCACTGAGGCTCTTCCCTATTTCTATGGCAACATGTTTGGAAAAATAGGAAGCGGATGGATAGGGGTAGGTATGGGAAGGCCCTCTGCAGGAAAGAGACACAACAGCTGTGTGTCAAAGTTCAGGCCTGAGAAAGAAGATTCTGAGGTAGACTAAGTCATCACCACTCTCTGGCTTTAGAGGGTTGCACACATTGTCACTAGATTGGAAGGTGCTCTCTAAATCAGGGTACGAGGGTCCTGTGTCTAGCCTGGGGAAACTGTCATTTCAAAATACATTTTCACGACCAAATGTGGCCCAGTTCACACTTCCGACTAAAAATCTTTGGTGCTCACCTCACAGCTCCAGGACAATCATCTCCCTTCCCACTGTTTGGCCCTTTCCCAGGTCCTCTCCACTCATTTCCTCGTCCTACCCCTGCAAACCCTGGAGCCAGCTCACACTTCCTAAGAGCTCTTTTGTGGCTGCTGCTTCTGCGGAGAAGACTCAGGCTGGTCCTTGATGACCCCTCTCCCAGGTCATCTCCCTTGATCTCCCAGTCTCCCTCAATGTTAGAAACTTCCTGTTGCCACGACCATGGCCTCTGTGCATGTCATTCATACATACATATTTTCCCTTTGCCTGTCTACCTCCAGATTATGAGCTCCTCCAGGATAATCCTATGCCCAAGGCATCTGGGGGCATGGAAACATTCTATCCAGAGAATGATGTCCTGTTCTTTTTTGTGTGTTTTGGACACAAACATATGTGCGAGTGTGTGCGAGCATCAAAATTGCGCGCACACACATACACACACACACACACACACACACACACGCACACGCACATGCGCACGTGCGCGCGCACACACATATATATTTGGTATTTTCTGTCTCTACCATATGTCAAGTATTTGCTGAGCATTTTAATGCAGTTCTTGTGTTAATCAGTTTTATTTTATTTCATTTTATTTTATGTACATTAGTGTTTTGTCTCATTCATGTCGACGTGAGGGTGTTGGATTCCCTGGAACTGGAGTCACAGACAGTTGTGAGCCATCATGTGGTTGCTGGGAATTGAACTCAGGACCTCTGGAAGAGCAGCCAGTGCTCTTAACCTCTGAGCCATCTCGCTACTTTCTTGTGTTAATCTTTATAATAAATTTATGTATACTCTATCGTTGCCCTCTCCCAAATTAAAGCTGTGAAACTTGAATTGTAGTGAAATCAAGTATTTGGTTTCAAGTCAAAAAGCCAGTAAGTGGCCAAGCAGTGGCTGGCCAGATTCCTCCATCTACTTCAAGAACTGTTTTAATGCTCAGAAAAAAATTCAAATGATTTTAAGCCAATTGTAGGCTCTTAATTAAGCAAGGCCAAGTGTGTGAGCCTATTTACCATGCGACTTTGGGCTTGAGCCTTGGTTTCTCCTATCTACAAAATGGAGTTAGTGCTGGAACCACAAGGCTTTCCTAGGAACTAAATAATCAGCATTCAAGTACATATTTGACAATCCTCCTGGCTAGGCCTGGGACTGAGGGTGAAGCCAATGGACACCACCTTCCAAGGGCCAAGACTTAAGGGGCACACAATGTTGAGAAGAAGTCTGAAACCCACACAGCCTTGACCTGAGCACCGACCGCCCTGTGTGTCTCCCCAGCCTGGCCCATCCCTGCTCTAAGAAAATCATTATCACTCGTGTCCAGAATCAGCCTGGGTTGTATTTCGCTGTTATGATTCAGATATAAAATATCCCTTCAGACTCATGTTTGAATAACTGGTGGCACTGTTGGGGAGCCTTGTAGAGCCTTTGAGAGATGGGGCCCAGCAGGAGGAAGAGGAGCTTTGGGGACCTTGTGGTTTATGGCTTGGCCCTGTTTTCTGCCCCAGCCATACTTGTTTGGTCTGCTGACAGGGGAGGAAGCAGTCGCCATACATTCCTGCCATCCCCGAGCCACCCACCGCACCTCCCTCATGATGACAGATGAAATTTCTTCGGTCTGTAAACCCAAGTCTATAAACTCTTCTTTTCTCGTCACAACGAGAGAAGCAACCGACACGGTGACAAAGGGAAGAAGTGCTCTATGTAGAAGAGCCGCTGTTTCCACACCTCACACCCTGTGCTCACATGCAGCTTCCTGTTGTCGCTATGGTGACTGCGACTCTCCATCTGCTTCCTACTCTCAGACCATATCCACGTGTTTTCCATGTGATGGGGGTTTTCTATGGGGTTCTAGTTATAAAATGTTGTATAGCCCAGACACGACCTTTACACAAACATGTAGAGGCATGATCTGTTCCACTTCCAGAGCATTCTTATCTCTTTCTAGACATTGCCAAGGCTTTGGGATGAGTTGCACTGGTCTCTGGAGTCTTGTGCCCTTAGCCTTGCACTGGTCCCCTCCAAGGTCTTGACTCCTTTTCATTTTGAGTCAGTCAGGAAACCCCAGAGCTTATCTAAGCAGTCAGTGGTCTCTTGACTCGTATAAAATGGCTTAAGGATGCTGGGGACCTCTGGAAGCTGTTGAAATGTGGAGCTGTTGGGAAGCCGTTCCTGGCTGCCTGGTGATGAGGTCATCTGGGAAGGTCAACCTTCAGACTAAGAACTTGCTCCCAGGGTTGGCTGGGAGGGCTCTTAGGGACCAGTGGCTTAGGACTGGACAGAGCAGGAAGGTATGTCCCCTTGCTGAACACTCTCTGTGTTCCTAAAGTAAGTGTGAAAATACATCTCAAGACTGTATTTTCTTTTTTTCAAATAAGGAATCTTTCTATCTTGATAATCTACATTAAAATTCTTATTTTTTCTTCTTTTTCCTCTCTCACTTTCTCTCATACTAATAAAATGATAAATAATTATGATAAAATTAATAATATTTTATTTTTCTCTAGAAACCACTGCAATGTAGCCTGGAAGATAACCCTAGATGAAGCATCAAGGAACTGTTACATAGGTAGTGTTCTGGTCTGAGTTGTGGGGAATATTTCTTTGGGTGTTTCTTTCCTTGTTGACTTTCTTGTCTTGAAAAGCTGAACAACAAAACAGAGATCAAAATCTAAGCTCTCCTGTCAGTTGGTTCTGTCTGGCAGGGAAACAATACAACCACCACCAACACCGCTCACTTGGACATTGTGGCTTCCCCATAACCTTGTCAAGAAGTATTTTTAGAAAGGTAACATTATAGTGCTTATAATACACATCACTCAACTTGACATATCCAAAGTATAATTTCCACATGGGATGGGTATAAAAACTGTGTGATTGAAGTGTTTTGCATTTATGGACATTTCAGTATGCATCCCACATACTTAATACCTCTGAATTCAGATGGGCCATATTTCCTCTGCTTAGTAGTCATTTGGGAGGAGTGGCTCCCGCACCTGATACTGAACCATACAATTCTAGTCCTACAAGTCTACTCGGGGTGGGGTGGGGGGGAGCGCCCCATAAGTGTAGTTTCTGGCTGGACCATCATCAGGAATGTGATGAATTCTAATGTAACTGGCTTTCTAGATGCCACATAGTGAGATGTTTGTTTATGAAAGAAACTTGGACATATCGAGCCTCAATAATTTCTCAACAACAAATGAGAACATGTGTCAGTTCCATAGGTCTAAGCATTTAACCATTAAATTAAAGCATCAGCTGTATATTCAAGTAGTTCAAATTATAGCCATGCTTGCTTTGGCAGCGTGCATAGTAAAACTGGACCACTACAGAGAAGATTAGCATGGCCCCTGTGCAAGGAAGACTTGAAAATTCTTGAAGAATTCCATGTTTTTGGTACCTGATGGGAAAGGGTTTTCCCCAATGAAGCGTCACTGAGTACATCAGCCACACTCTGGGACAGGCCCCATGCCCAGAAAACAGACTCCATGTTTTGTTTGTTTGTTTGTTTGTTTTTTCCTTCTAAGACTTTTGTTTTGTTGATTTTTTCCTGTTATTTGAGATTTAAAAAACAAAATTAGGATGGTAAGGAATTGGGGAGACTCTATGATGGGTGAGGAGAAAGAATATGATAAAATATATTGTATGAACATTTTTAAATAAAATCTTGATTAATTAGAAATTATTATTGCCATTAGTAGTAGTAGTACATGCTGAACACTTTTAATCTGAAAATATTAACCTCAAATGCTTAAAAATCAAACTTTTTGAGTGCCAATACATCAGTTCAAGTAGGGAATTTGGTATTGACCTCATGTCACAGAACACAATCATGTTAAAAACAATGCACAAAATGACCTCCAGGTTTCGTGGGAAGGAGCACAGGAAACATAAAATGAGTTCAGGTTTAGACTTGCCTCCCATCTTTAAGATAGCTCTTTATGTGTATGCAAATGTTCCAAAATTTGAAATCCAGAACCTCTCTGGACCTAAGCATTTTTAGAAAAAAAAAAAAAAAAAACTCCAAGAACTAATGTAAGTACACACATGGGTCTCAGACAGTGGAGCTTATTTGTGAGTGATAGCCTGGGCACACTGGAGGAGTTGGAAGGAATATTTGAGATGACTCAGCCCCAGGTTTCAGTCCATGAATTAATGAGACCTAGAGAATGGGATGGAGCCGATAAACCATGCCACACCTACCGTTCACACACTCCTCTGCAAGAACACAGGCAAGCCTCGGAAATCACTTTCTTCAAATTTAAAGTATGTGCCTTTTTATTAGATATTCTAGTACATAACACGAGTTATAAAATGCATGCAAATCAGGCACCTCAGTCACACACCATACACACGTAACACACATATTCAGGCACAGCCCAGAGAGTGGTGTTCAGTGTGCTAAAAACAAGAGATGCAAGAAGGAACAACAACTCAAAACCACTGCAGGGCAATTTATAATGACGGTCAGGAAGTCCTTGTTAAGAATGCCGTCTATTATTAGACTGACACGCAGGGACACAGGAAAAGCTCATGACCCGAGACACTCCAGGAAGGACTGGGCACTGCCTAGAGCAGGAGAGAAACAAAGTGCTCACTTGCCATGAGATGCCAGAGGCAGCCTCCGGCTCCTGTTTGAACCAGGGGGGAGAGCAGACCTTGGAGCACAACCGAGAGTCCTTTGTGCAGCAGAGGTCTTGGGACAATGAGAGGCAATGGAGGGGGTCATGTATAAACCACCCAGCAGGGCAGAACACGGATGCAATTAGTAGGCTGCATATCGGGCAAAGGTGGTGGCCTTGGTGTCTGGATTTCTTGCCATGTGACAAGGTAAAGACATCATGCTAAGATCTCTTCATGGGTGCTTCCTAGAAGTGCTGGCCATCAGTGGACCACTGTGCTGCAAAGGGTATTAATGGATATTGAGCCCAGAAGCTCAGCGTAGCTGGACAGCCTCTGTGAAGGGATGTTAAAATGGCTGTGGTGTTGAGAAGCGTAGGATGAAGAAAAGCTACCTGCAACGTTCACGGATGGTGTGCTCATGTACATACTGAGTTCTACAAAATTCAGTGTCCCACATGGTCTGTGTACAATCTGAGTATCCCTTATCACCAGGTGAGAAGTACTTCAGATTTGGGGTTTGATTGGATTTTGGAGTATTTTCAAAGACTTCACAAGTTGGACATCTCTAATATGAAAATCCAAAATGTAGAATATTTCAAAAATCTGGAAATCCACAATGTTCCAAAGTTAAAATCAGATTATTCTAGCGTTTAGGGTTTAGGATTTCTTGGATGAGGGACATGTAACCTGCAGATGACACAACAGACATGATAAATCCGAGGGTAAGTTAGCATGTAAGTTGTGGACTTACCCTGCAAGTCTTAAGTGGACTTACCCTTAAGTCTTAAGTCATTGCAACTGCCTGCCTCATAGTAGGAGTGAAATGTTTGATGGCGAACGAGTGTGAGATTAGCTAGCAGTGTATAGAAAATGAGCTAATTGAACATGAATTTGAAATGTATTGGAAGTGGGAGTTCCTGCGTGTAACTGCTGTGCCTCTGCCTATACGCCCCAGGGGCAGAGGTTCCAGCCTGTCCCTGAGCTACACTGGTCAAACCGACCTACAGTTCCTGTGAACTGGATACTACAGAGGAGAGGGATCTGAGAATAGGTTTGCCGGGATACAAGAGACCCAGAAAGATTCAAGAAGAGGAGAATTGGGTTAGATGTCAATTCTGTTAAAACACCTCAGGATTGTCTTGAGAAGCTTAGCTGTCTTCGTCCAAAGTGAGGTTGAGAAGGTAAGAGGTAGGAGAAACAGAGTGAGACATCAGGAAGCCATTTCTGACAGCCAGCATCTAGTAGAATGGACTGCTAATAAGCAACATGTCGGTGCAAACTCCAGCAGAGTCAACAGCTGCCTTCCGTGGGCACCTAAGGTGGCTCCGGTGTGGGTGGGCAGTCAGATTGATTGACGTGTCTTGCCCAGGATTGAGACCAGGCCAGCCGCACTGCCAGCCCTACCAGCACCGGCAGAGGGCGCTCTCCAGGCGGGCGCGGACTGGCTGCCTAGTGGCTGGGGTTCTCCTAAATTGGAGGGGGATGCGCAGTGGAAGCAGTTGACAGGGGTCTTGGTTGCCAGGTAAGGAAGGAAGATGCAAGGAGTTTCCCTAAGCTGGGGAGTATGGGTTCTCCACCCGCACAAGCGCAAGTCCCTGCAGTCAGGGCAGGTGAGCTGGGCAGGCAGCGGGGACGCTGAAGAGGGGCCGCAGAGGCCGCAGAGGAACAGTCTTGGTACTTCTCAGGGCCTCATTTATCTGGAGTTTCCCCTGATCATTCCCCCACCTGTGCAGGCTGTCATGCCCTTCCTGTGTGGAGCTTTTCATGTACTCACCTCCCAACCGACCAGAGACAATCAACCAAGGAGCCAGGGTTGGAGGGTTTTTCTCCCTCTTCAAGGGGCATGGACAGCTCAGAAATGGCAGACCCAAGAGCTGCGCACCCACAGAGAAAAATGTAGTCTTCAGGTTGGCCTGGGGTGAGCAGAAGAGAGTTACAGACCCTGTCGATCTCAGGGTCTCCTGTAGGTTTAACAAACTGAGCCATCTCAAGTGACCCCAGAGAGGAACGGAAAAACTACCTAATGCCCTCTCGACCCCACCCCAGCCAACCTTCCAGAGCCAATCAGCTTTCTCAGTCACAGAGGCAGCCACATGTCTGGACATGGTTCAGTTCTAGACTGCAGACATCCCCTGCTGGACATCTCTACCATTCTGTGCCTGCCCTGTCATCCTGTGAACATTGTCGGTGAGCCAACAGCGCTCAGCAGCAAGCAGACCTAGGCCAGTGGCTTTCTCCGGTGCCAGGAAGCCCTTGGGAAGTAAGCTGTGAGTTCACCTCCTCTCTCTCTCTCTCTCTCTCTCTCTCTCTCTGCCCCCCCCTCTCTTTCCTCCCTCTCTTGAAACTACAATGATCACTCTTCCAAAGGCAGATTCTTGAGTCATGTGATTCTAGTGGATAAACTGTCTGTTTATGATTAAAAGCGGTCACAGTTCATAAGACTTTGCTCATTATAAACTTGTTTTATTTTGCTTTCTCAAAGAAGCCAGAAATGCCCAAAAGAGCAACACAAACCCTTTTGTACCTGGCAGGAGCAGTGTGATTGTTTATGTCCAGCTGTTCCCTTTCCTACTGGCACAGCTGGGTAAACCAGAGCACAGGCCAGAAAGGGGACTGGCAGTCCACAGAGCTAGGGTGGCCTGTAAAACCAGTTGCCTGCAGCCCCGAGAAGACAGAAATCCAAATCCTCTCCGCAGCCTCCAGCAGGAGAAACAATCCTTGCTTGTAGCACGACTCTTAGAGAAATACTAACAAACAAAAGGCAAGCAGTCCCCCAGCTGCAACACTATACTCTTAAACAAATTATTAAGCAAATAGTTGAGAGATCTCTGCCAACCATTCACTGGAAAATAGGAAGGCTGACGGGCCCCAGATTGTGGTGTTTAAGAAAAAAACAGGGTATTTGTGTTATGAAATTTTAACCAAGCTATCCACATACACACAGGCTGTAACTTGGTTCCCTTCATGGATTAAGACACCTTTTGCTCTCTTTCCAACTTCCAGATTAAAAATTACAGCATGGGTGGGCATCCTATTATCATTAAGATGAGAGTGTTCAATGACCAGACAGGCTGGGGTCGGGGTGGGGCTAGAGGGGACGACTGCTTAGAGGTACAAAAGACCACCTCTTGGTGACAGGGTTTGGGCATGGTATCAGTGTGGGAGTTGGGTGTGTAAAAAGCTAGGGCTAGAGATGTAGCTCAGGGCAAAACCCTAGGTTCAGCTCCCAGAATCTGGAAACAAAACAAACAAACAAAAAAGAACACAGAGAAAGTTACCTAGCAACCAAGTTGCCGGTGGTAATGGTACCTAAGATGATGCCTCAGGAGCTCCTGGACAAGACCCTATACTCATTTTGGTGCTGACTAAATCCAAGCCAGATGGTTGCCCTTGTGCAGGGCCTAGGGCCATTGGAGTTGCCCGCTGAGATTTCACTGACCACTCACAGGCAGATCCTGGCTCAGAGGTGGATACAGACAGCTGGAGATGCTGGGCTAGAAGCAGAAGTATAGACAGAAGGTTCTGTCAACACCTGGCCATGATGGCTAACAGGCCAAGCACGCAAGCTGGCGGTGTCTAGCGATCGGTACTCTTTCACGTGTGATTTTGCTGAGGCAGGCAATGATCAGGGGTGTTTGACAAGAGAAATGTTTCCAGAAGGTGTTTGAACTGTGTCTTGTCTTTCCTGTATTCTGAGGCTTTGGCATCTGGAACCTTGCTGACCCTGACGGTTCCTCCCAGGGCTAGCTAATGCTTGCCAAATCTCCTGTCA